CCCTCAGCCATTCTAAAGCTGCAATGGTCCGGTGAGAGCGGCCCATTCCACCTGTGTCTCCCTGAGACCCCGCCCTACCCAACCCACGAATAGCCCTCTGGGGTGTCTGTTGCCAGGCAGCCAGCACCCTTGCACCTTACCTTGGCTACACATTGGCGGGCAGGCAGCAGCCTTCAGCTTGTACCACCCACATGTGGCCTGCACATAACAGGGAAGACTTTTTGTGGTAGGCCGCTGGTACCAGCCCAAACTGCAGTGTCTCTTGGGTGAATTGCTGGGTTCTATGGGCTGAGGTTGATGGCAGCTGGCTTCCTTGTGATCTGTGACTTTTGCAGGAGCCCACAGGCTTAGCACTGGCAGCCATTTGCATTAGCCTGATGGGACTGGCTAACTCTACCCAGTGTCTCCCTGAGACCCTGCACCACCCAACCCACAAATTGCTGGTGGAGGGCTTGTTACTGGGCAGTCAGTCCCACTCTGTGCTTTTCCTGGGCCATGATTTTGACAGCAACCAACACCATGTTAAATAACATGCTACTAAGCAATGACTGGGGTAATGAGGAGAGCAAGGAAGAAACCAAAGACACCTTGAGACAAATAAAAATGAAAACACAAAGACTCAAAATGTATGGGACACAGAGAAAGCAGTCCTCAGAGGGAAATTCATAGTCCTACAGGCCTACCTCAAGAAACGAACAAATAAAAAGCTCAAAGAATCTAACCTTACATTTAAAAGAACTAGAAAAAAACCCAGCAAAATAAATCCCGAAGTGAGTAGAAGGAAAGAAATAATAAAGATTAGAACAGATATAAACAAAATAGAGTCTAGAAAAACAATACAGCAAAACCAAGAGCTGGTTCTTTGAAAGGATAAACAAAATTGATAATCTTTTAACCAGACTCAGCAAGAAAAAAAGAGAAACCCAAATAAATAAAATCAGAAATGAAAGAAGTAACTACAGACTTCACAAAAATAAAAAGTATTATAAGAAAATACTTCAAGCAATTATATGCCAATAAATTGAACAATCTGGAAGAAATGGATATATGCTTAGAAACATACAATTACCCAAAACTAAGTCAAGAAGAAACAACAAATCTGAATTGACTGGTCACTACTAACAAAATTGAATCAGTAATCAAAAAACTCTCAACAGAAAACTCCCAAAAGTCCTGGACCAGATAGATGGCTTCACAGGTGAATTTTACCAAACATTCAAAGAATTAACATCTATCCTTCTCAAACCATTCCAAAAAATTCAAGAAGAGAAAAGGCTCCCAAGCTCAATTTACGAGGCCACTATTACTCTGATTCCAAAACCAGACATAAACATTACCAAAAAAGCAATTTATGGGCCAATATTCCTGATGAACATAGATGCAAAAATCCTCAACAAAATATTAGCAAATCAAATTCAGTATACATAAAAAAGATTATACATTATGATCAAGTGAGATTTATTTTTGGGATGCAAGTTTGGTCTAATATCCACAAATCAATTACCATAATACATCGCATTAAAAAAAACGAAGGATAAAACTCATGATCACATCAATAGATGCAGAAAAATCATTTGACAAAATCCAGCATCCCTTTATGATAAAAACTCTCAGCAAAGTGGGAATAGAGGGAGCAACCTCAACATAATAAAGGCCATACATAACAAATCTACAGCTAACATCATACTCAATGGGGAAAGGCTAAAAGTCTTTTCCTTAAGGTCAGGAACAAGACAAGGATGGCTACTTTCACCACTTCTATTCAACATAGTACTGGAAGTCTTAGCTATAGCAATGAGGCAAGAAAGAGAACTAAAAGGCATCTAAATTGGAAAGAAGTAAAACTGTCATTATTTGCAGATGACATGATACTATATATAGAGAACCCTAAAGATTCCACTAAAAAACTATAAGATCTGTTAAATGAAATCATTAAAGTAGCTGGATAAAAAATTAATATTTGGAAGTCAGTTGCATTTTTATATATCAGTGATAAACTCTCAGAAAGAGAAATTAAGAAAACAATCCCATTTACAATTGCATCAAAAACAATAAAATACCTAGAAATCATATTAACAAAGGAGGTAAAAGATCTGTTCATGAAAAATTATGTTATTGTAAAAAGAAATTGAAGAAGATATAAATAAATGGAAGCATATTCCATGCTCATGGATAGGAAGAATCAACATCATTAAAATGCCCATACTACCCAAAGCAATCTATGGATTCAATGTATCCCTATCAAAATACCAATGGCATTTCTCAGAACTAGAACAAACAATACTAAAACTTATATGGGGCCATAATAGATCCTAAATAGCCAAAGCAATCTTGAGAAACACGAACAAAGTTGGAGGTATCAAACTACCTGAGATTAAACTGTACTACAAGTCTATAGTAATAAAAACAGCATGGTACTGGCATAAAACCAGATATATAGATCAATGGAACAGAATAGAGAGTCCAGAAATAAACTCACATCTATATGGTCATTTAATCTATGACAAATGAGGCAAGAATACACAGTGGGTTAAAACCAGTCCCTTCAATAAATGGTGTTGAGAAAACTGAACAGATACATGCAAAACAATAAAACTGGATCACCTTACACCATATAGAAGAATAAACTCAAAATGGATTAAACACTTAAATATAAGACCCAAAACCATAAGAAAACAGGCAGTAAACTCTCCGATATTGCTATTAGTAATTTCTTTCTGATATATCTCCTCAGACAAGAAAAACAAAAGAAGAAATAAATAATGGGACCATATTAAACTAAAAAGTTTTTGTACAGCAAAGGAAACCACCAACAAAACAAAGAAAACCTGGATGGGAAAAGGTAGTTGTCTGTGATACATGTAACAAGGGGTTAATATCCAAAATTTATAAAGAACTCATATAACTCAAGAACAAATAAAACAAACAATCCAATTAAGAAATGGGCAGAAGAACTGAACAGACATCTCTCTAAAGAGGAAATGCAGGTGGCCAATAGACACATGAAAAGATGCTCAAGGTCACTTATCATCAGAGAAATCCAAATTAAAAACGCAATGAGATATCACCACACACCTGTTGGTTTGGCTATCATCAATCAATCAAAAAACAATGTGTTGGTTAAGAATGTGCAGAAAAGAGAACCATCACACACTGTTGGTGAGATTGCAAATTGGTACAGCCACCATGGAAAACAGTTTGGAGATTCTTCAAAAAATTAAAAATAGAACTACCTTTTGACCCAGCAATTGCACTTCTGGGTATTTACCCCCCCAAAAAACTGAAACGGTAGTTTGGAAAGATTTGTGTACCCCTATGTTCATGGCAGTGCTATTCACAACAGCCAAGATATGGAAGCAACCTAAGTGTCCATCGATAGAATACTAGATAAAGAAGTTATGGTACATATATATGATGGAATATTATTCAGCCATAAAATAAATGAAATCTTACCATTTATAAGAACATGAATGGACCTAGAGGGTATTATGCTGAGTGAAATAAGTTAGAGAAAGATAAATACCATGATTTCATTTATATGAGGAATAAGAAATAAAAGAACAAACTAAACAAAAACAGACTTACAGAAACAGAGAATAAACTAGTACTTGCCAGAGGGGAGTGGGGTTGGGAGACTGGGTGAAAAAAGGTAAAGATATTAAGAAGTACAAGTTAATAGTTACAAAATATTCACTGAGATTTAGAGTATAGCATAGGGATATAGTTGATATTACTGTAATGGTTGTGTGTAGTGACAGATGGATGCTAAAGTAATCAGGGGATCACATCATAAATTATATAAGTTTCTAGCCTTTGTATTATATAACTAAAACTAATTTTAAAAAAGTAAAAAAAAATAAAGAATAAAATGCCAAATTTATTTAGTGGAAGAGAGTAAGATGCTAAGTAAGACTCAGATTTGAATTTGTTGACAAATCATTTACATATAAAAACTCAAAAAACAATTGATATCAGTCCCCTGGCCTTTCTTCTCTCCACTCTCATATAGACGTTACATTCAATTTTAGAACTTAAAATGAAAGAAATTAATGCTTACACATTAGTTTTACTTCTAATAGAATTTTTATGGTTTATTTGTATCAATGAGAATAGGTTATTTATTTAGGAGTGAAGACATGGAAATTAGGAGAAAATGATGTGCAAACAATAACTTGTAATTATAAAAAACTTTATTCACTCTTACTTTAATTAAATCTTTATAAGCACCATGTCATGTACTGGCAATCTAGAAAGAGGATACCGGAATGCTTTAGTCAATAACAAACTGCAAACTGATGATGTGAAGTTACAGCTACAGGGGGCATGTGAACAAGACTACATTTAAAAAAGGTTCACTTGAGAATCCAATGACAATGCACAAAACAGGAATCTGGCATTGATTTGTTCACACTTTTCTGTGATCAGAACCTAAAGCTTGTGCATGTAAACATCGAAAGAAACATTTTATCACCTTGACAGTTTACAGTTTGCTAAAACTTGACCCTGAAAGCATAAATGTTGCAATTTTGATTGCTTGACCAGTGCTTGGTCATAGGCTGAAAAGATCAATTCCTTTAAAATTTAAATGATGCTTAAAGGCTACGTTCAACACTGTGTATGTCACCAGCAAGGCCTTTGTATGTGTTCAAATTCTCATGTATGATCACCAAACCATTCTTTATTTACCTAGTGACATTGTGAAAAATTATATATTTTCAGAGAAATGTTTTAATTTGGTCCTATATTAAAAGACCTAATTGCCAAGGTGTTTTACGTAAATTTAATTCACAAGCATGTACACAAGAGAATCACTATAAAGAACATTGCTTCCTGGTTTATGAATAAAAAGTTAATCCTCTACTTACACTAAAACATACAAAAAATAACCTACAAAAATCGTTTACAATTGATTTTAGTGAAAGAAAAAGCTTTCTTCAGAAAAAAAAAAAAATGACTGTGTAGTGGTGGTATTTTAGCCATCAAAAAAGGAATGTCAGTAACCAATAAATATAATGTGCTTTCTCCATATAGACATATTTACACTTAAGTCTTTGGCTTATGTTTTTTTTTTTTCCTAAAAGAACTTTAAATGATCCAGCCATCATTGCACATTAAAAGAAAATAAGCCAGTTATATATATTTATATATTTATATAGAGATCTGCTACGCTTGAAACGTAAAAAAAAATGAACTTTACTATGAATTAGCACAGCTTTTCTTTCTTCTTCCTTTAAAGATTTAACATCTTTTATTTTAAAAAGGGAGAAAAATGCCACGTCGAAAGTATTAATTCATGCAACATGTGGTGGCTGCTCTACCCAAATCAGGGGAGAAAAGGCTGCATATTCACTATACAAACACTGATAAGTTCTCATTTGAATCTGGTTCTTATTAAATATAATTTATGTGGCACGAAATGTTGATGCTTTCATACAGTCATAGAAACTGAGTCCTTTTTATTAAGATACACAACTTCATAAGAAAAATACTTTCACCTCTCGAATGTAAAAGTCTCCCACCCCCCACATTAAAATCTTTCTGCACAGGTGTAACGGGTACAACAGCTGCTGGCTCAACAGATGAACAGATTTCTGTTCGGATGCTGAAGTCTCACCCAACTAAGATGACTCCAGGTATTCCAAAGCTACATCATAGCAGAAACGGTACTGCTCCTGAAAGATTTTAACACAAAAGGGTTGAGAAAAGTTAAGAAAGAGGAGACTAATGGTGAATAATAGCTACCAAGTTAATACTTGGCAAACAATTTAGATTATTCAGGAATTACAAATTTTTTTTCCATATATAAGTTGAATATTTGTGCATACATATTTTACATTTGAGTCTAATGATTGCTGTTTAAGAAAAAGAAATTAGATGGAAAAAGATATGTTATTTTTGCCTTATATTTTCTATCAAATTTTTTAAATCTACAATATTTTCAAAGGTGATTATAATAGTAATATCTGATCATTACAGAAAAATTTTCCAACATAGAAAAATATAATCATAAAGATTTTCTATAATTCTATTATTAGAAAACAAAATTGTTATTAAAATACCACCTTAATTTTGCTTCAGTTTTTAAATGTATGTTTGAAATAATAATTACCTTAGAATAAATATGGTTGGATATATATATCTGTCTGAGGATATAATTTCATATTTTATCATTTTTGTGTAACATAACTTTTTCACATTATTTAATATCTCTTAATATTACATAAAAGTCTAACATTGATTATTTGACTATTAGATTGCATTTTTCTTCTATTATAAATAATACTACAGTGAACATATGCAAAATTTCTCCACACTTAAAATAATTTTCCTTAGTAGTAAAAAATATAAAAAATAAAAAAAATAAAAAGCCAGTCATTTCAAACTGCCACTTCACAATTCCAAATTCTTAATTTTGACAGTTGTTGGCTCATCAGAGTATTCAAGTAAATTTCTCAAAATGGTTAGTGATTCTTAAAATTTTTCGAGTTTATTTGTATCTGAAAATTTATTTCTGCTGCCTTTATATACTTAAAACGATTTGGATGATGACAAAAAGTTTGAATTTAAACTGTCTTTCCTGTAAGTCCGTCTTGTGTTGCTTCATTAGAAAGAATTTAGAAAAATTCAGAGACTGTATCATAAATTATGAATGATAATATCTAACTCTTTAAAAACTTCCCAATTTAATCCAAGTAGGTAAAATTCACGTTGAACTGAAGAATAACATTAAACTCATATTTCTAAAACAAACTTGCAGGTGTCTCCAGAAATAAACTAAGGGTAATAAAACTTTCCCTAAGAGGTCTTTATCAAACCTACCCTAATTATCAAGTAGATGTGATTTAAATTAGCCTACCACTGTGACAAGTGCATCTGAAGAACCCAAAATTGCTTGAAAGTGGTTATGTGTCTTTAATCATTCTCTGGTAATTTGGTTTATACTCTAAATTTCCTTACCAAACTTGTCAGTTTAAGTCAATAGCATGCTGAACTAATAATTAATCGTGATTAAACACAAATCAGAGGGTGGGGAGTTTTGTCAGGATGCATGGGGCATGAATTAAAGACAAATAATAACTCTTTGGATTGTTCTAGAATAGTAGAGTTTAACCATAGAATTTTTTTAAAGTAATAATGGAAAATCAAAGTGAAATTTTGAGGTAAAATTTGAATTCTGAGCCCAGAAGTGACCCCACTGATGATTTTAAGACTCGATCTGAAAGACAGAGGCAGAGTTTATATTAAGACATCTTCATACTGAAGTTTAAAGACATAACTACTACCCATCTGTTTTATGAGATGACCTGAATTCCACCTTAAAAATTCCTCAAATTCATCCTTCTTTTCAATCTATTGCTATCACTCCAGTCAAATCCAACATCAGCTTGTTTGGACAACTGTAGTAACCTAAGGAATGTAGTGGAGTAGAGGGGGTTTGAGGACTTGTAGAAGGGGAAAAAGTCTGTTATCACTCTTAAAAGTGAAAGAGTATAAATATAACGCTTCAGATTTTGTCTCAGGAAGCAATGCGCCTCTTGTGTGAACAATCCATGAGCAGGAAGTGGTGAAAATACTTTAAAGGTTTATTGAATTGCTCATTTTAGTTATCTGATCATCTTGATAAATGTAGGGCAAGCAACAATGATGCCTTGGTTTTTCTGTTTTACTTTTCTGTGAGCATAAACTACAGAGCTGCTCCTGACCTTATCCCATCATGCACATATGTGTAACCCACAGACATCTCTCTTCAGAAGTGACATTTGCTAGAGAAGCTTAACTTTCTTCCTTATTCTTCATACAGCTTCACCCAGATACACTCCCACATACACATACCTATCTGTTCTTACTTTGTAAGCTATATTCTGATTTTATGAGCCCTAGCAAATTCAGGTAGCATCATCATATGAACTATGCTCTATAAGTGGTAAAAGTTGAAAATTGTCAATGACAAAAACTTAAAATTTTATAATTTGACCAGAGATAAAGAATTACATATAATGACTAAAATAAATTTCAGTTATACTTTAAAAACAACGGGTATCTAAAGAGCAGATGTAATTTATGAGTGTATCTATCAGATTAGTTTTACCGGTTAACTCAATATGCTTTAAGAAATAAAAATGAACAAGAATAATGTGAACAAAGAATAAATAAAATTAACAAGATAGCAGGATTTATTCTTATTATGGACCCATTTACCAAACTATTGTAGCATTTTTCCCCGTTATTGTTCATAATGGGGGAAAAAACCTATACGTTTTATAAATTAAGTGAAAATAATTTTCTTCATCATTAGCAGTTTATGTAATATATGATTAAGTTATACAGGTAGACAGGGACACTGGCAATTCATCATTAGGCAAGAAAGTCCCCACAAAGACCCATTTACATATCTGATTCCCTATAAGTGTTTAAGTCGAACCACAAGTAGGTAAATGACTGACTGATTACTACACTCCTTTCTACCTCTAAAACTGACTCACCGGGGCTTCCACCATGTTGGGTTTACTGTTCCTTAGTGTCTTGACCGCATGGAACACATCGACAACATTCTGCCGTTTCACCATTTCGACAACAATTCCTATAGCACAGAACATGCCACTTCGCCCACCACCATTTCTGAAACCGAAGAAAGCAAAGGCATTTTAGAGCGAAGCTTTTGGTGACCATAGGTCACACAATCATACATGTTTGGGAAACGAATGCATTACCTTTTTAATTTTTGTCAATTTGTGCATAATTTTGCTTCATATGCGTGCAGGTATGGGGATAGGGCAGAGAGAAAGGACACATGAGGAGGAGGATGTTAACTCAGTAATTTGTGTTTAGGAATATACTATAGGCATAGATTGTCCCAACCTAGATACTCTGAGATTTTGATAGATTTGCAGACTGTGTAAATCAGAAAAGTGGTTCAGAGTAGTGTTCAAAAGGGTTTAAATGATCAATTTTTAAAAACATACAAAAATTAAAGTTAGTAGTTAATTATAGAGTTATTGGACAGGAAGTTTGTTTGAATATCTATAAAGGTTAAGATGTGAGTCAGGTAACTTTAGCATAAAAAATGTGAAGGCTAATGAGAAAATAAACGGCTCCCCTCAATGGCCAAGCTAAGCTGCCACACTCACAGGCAGTGGATGATCGTCCGGCCTTCCCCTTCCTCGCATTCCTCCTGCCATTTTTCCACCTGCAGTATCAGTTTCAAAAATGACCGTTTGGAACCAGGCACTTCTCGATGAGAAGCCCATCCTAGATATTGAAACTGCTGTACCATAAGATAACCTTCCTGTGGCTGTGGAGAAAAAAGTATTTCTATGTAAGTTGAGACTAGAAATTTTACTAAAAAGTCAAAAGTTCATACCAATTAACATCATGATATAAATGACATTTATAGTGGATTGATTATAAATCCTGAATATATACATGCCAGTGCAGAAACATTCTAAGTTATAGAAGCAAGAAACATGAAAATTATCCTTAATACAAGCTTCTCCCTCACATCTGCTATCCAATAATCAATTTCTATGTTTATATTTCTTAAATAACTTTCAAATTCATTTCTTTATCACCAGTGACATCACTGCACTCCCAATCACAAGTTATGATAATTACCTCCTAGTTGACCTCCCTGAATAAACTTTGATCTCTTTCCAAATCATTCTTACTACAGACATCATTCTTATTTTGAAATGCAAATTTGACCTTGTCATCTTCTGCTTTAATGGCTTCCAAATGATCTTAGCATAGAATCCAAATTGCTGCCGTGGCTTAAAATCCTTACATAATCTGACTCCCCTTCCTTCTCCCAAATTCCCTTTACTCTAAAATACACTGTTCAAGTTCCAGACACACTGGCCTTCTTTCAATACATTTAGCAAGTAATTTCTTGTCTTGAGAACTTTGCACATATACTCCCTTTTGTCTTGAATATTTCTTTCTTGTTTGCCCTTCTCAATTGCAAATAGAGTGACTAACATCTTGGGTTCACCTAGGACTTTTCTGGTCTTAGCAATGAAACTCATGTCCTGGACATCTCTCTGTCCTCTGTAAACCAGGATAATTGGTTATCCCACCCCCGAATAACTTCTATTGATTCTTCAAATTTTGACTTAAATACCACTACCTCAAAGAAATCTTTCTCTGATCACCCAGCCAGTTCAGATCATCCAAAACCTTTGTATTCTGTATTTTTTCTCTATAAAATTACTCATACTTGTAAATAAATGATCATATAATTATTTGTTTAACTCTTGCCTTCCCTGGTGAAGTATAAATTCCTTAAGGACAAAGAAATTTCTCTTTTTATCCTGTACTCTGTACAACTCCAACCGAGAAAAATACTGTCCGAAGAATAGAATTGTTGAATAAATAAATCAAAACCTTAAATTCTTAAATAAAAAATGTTGAGGAAGAATATGCAATATAAGAGGATTCTGTATTGTGGGGCATCAGAACTGAAGCTCCATACAGCAAGGGCTCATGCATCTTTTGGTAGGATGAGGATCTAGTACAACACCCAATTTCTTGGTATGTACTAAAAATCTGATGAAATTAATGACATTAAACCATGAGATCAGGAACAGGAAAAAAAAAAAAAAATCCTGCACTAATAAGGACCAGAATACCACATACAGAGGAGGATCAACAAACATATATGCTGACAAAAAAAAAGTAACACTGATTTCGGTTCCTTTCCTTACAATATTTTTCATATAAATGGCTTAATTAACAGACAAGTTTTACTTTCTTAGTTTAGCAGCTACGATTTCTCAGCTAAAATATTACTAGAACATAATGTAACAGATGTGCAGACATAATGAGATTTCATTTAAATTAACATCTAAGATATGCATGAATATTATGACATGATTGAAGTTATCATTTTTTCTCCACTAAAATGAGCAATAGAATTGGATAGGATTTTATCTTCTGTTTAGAGTTATATACATATAGACTTATTAACTAGACATGCATATGGCCATTTTGATATGAGAAACACTAAAATATGACAATCCTTATCACAGTTAAAATAATACATATACATAGAGCTGCTACTCTAAAAAAATGGACAATCTTTCTCTCTAAAAAAAGAATAATTCCCTAGAAATTACTAATGTTTTCTTTTCAAATTCTGCTTGCTACTTGGTTACATAATCTAAAGACTTTTTATTAATAATTTTTGTTTTTGAAGGAGAGACACCAACTTAATTTCTCATTTAGCACAGAGCACATAAAGAGTCAGGAAAAGAGAGTCCTGAAGGACACAGCTGCTACTTTGCTCCTGGGAAAGGGCACAGTGGTAGCAGCACTGGTTCTATCCATAGATCTGGGCAGAGTGAAGTGTTAGGACATTCATAAAGAAAGAATTGTTGGTGTGATGATAATCGATGATGTCTGTGATTTATCTTTCATTCATGCCTGAGGTTTTCCTTTATGCACAGGACTTGGAATAGTGACAAGGAACCTTTCTCTAATGGCTGATCCAACTTAACCTTTCCTCCTGAGGTAAAGCTTCTTCTCTGCCATTAATTATTATGATATTGTTATTTTTTTAACTGCATGCCTTTTCTGAACTGGATGTCAACACTATTAAAACATGTAGTCAACCGGGAGATACCATCTACATGAGCTCAGCAGCCAAGTCCAGACCATCAAACTCAATTAAGCCAGTGCATCTGAATCTAGATTTTCAGATGGAACACATTAGTCTAGTAATTGACCAGTAAACTTAGTTTCGAAAATTTCTGCTTTCCTGTGTTTAGAGAGCATTTTTGTTCTAATACTAAGGCATAACATGATTAGTAGATTTGGGACTGGTTATGAACTGTTTATTAATTCTACTCTTCATGTTGTCTGAATGGAATTATATCCCATTATGGTTATAACCCACTTACTCTGATCAACTCTGTTAGAATGATTAAACAATGACTTACTCTTGTTAGGTTGCATATCCTAAAAATCCGGTTTATCACATCACAATCCATTGAACAAGACATACATTCCACTTGTATAGGGCCATATCGTAGCATCCCTTCTTCTGGCCAGTACTGAGGGCAGCCCTAGGTGATGAATGTTTTGAAAGAAAAAGAGCATAATTTTTTCTAAATAGGGTGGTACAAAGCAGATTTTAGCATTTTATTACTATGTTATTAAGTTGTGCATAAATAGGCAAAAGCAACCCATGGCCATTAACCTGTGACAAGTCGACTTCATTTAACATCACAATGGAAGTACAGCCATAATCATACACTAATCTCCAGAAATCCTTCACAGTGTTTGGCAGAGGGTACTGTGTGACAATGAAAGCAGCTGGTTGCCTGTAGCTCTGTGAAGAAACAAGGTAGATGGAGAAATACAAGAACTTAAAATGTACAATCAGTTGTACAAGCAGATTCAATACACTTCAGTGTAGGACCAGTAAGACATAATAGCTTCACATGGAGATGGAGCCAGATTGCTATACAGGCATGGAATAACGGATTTGGACAACTGGAATGTACTTTGTTGAGAAAAGTAAATACAGGTCAAATACAAAAGAAGAAACTGAAGAACTTTTTGAGATTAAGATCCTCCATGAGGATCAATATTTTTCCTTTTTCCACACACCCTGTTTTCACTCCAAATCTAGACTCAGAAGCAAAAAGCTCTTGAGTGTTTTCACTCTGTATTTAGTATATTTGCCTTTCTAGACCACTAAAATGGGAAGAAATGGTACAATGAGACTCCAATGTGATTTCTGTGAACATGATTAATGGTGAGGCAAGACTGGTCAAAGCAAGGATGGTACTCGAGCTTGCCTTTAGACTATTCTGCTCTGCAGCATAAAAGGAGCAAAATAACTGCCCAAAAGACTAGTTATAGAAGTGGAATTTGAGTTTTCTTGAGTCTCTATTATCAGAAGCGAATTCTAGAAAATGCAATGAGAGCAAGAACTTAGAAAGCTTCACTGTTAATGATTGACTTAATTTCTCCTTGCTATGGTTCCAAAGGCTAAAGGGCAAAAACTAGAAATGTTGGTGAAAGAAGGTGATAAGCTGTTTAAAAGGATTCTAAACCTCGAGAGAGTTCTTGTTTCTTCCCAAGGTAACCAAAGCAAGGTGGCTATAGACATAATTTAAAACTCTTTCCATGCTGAGTGCTTGCTCCTCCATGTACGATTTCTGAAGATTGGAGTGGAGCATGTCAGTTCTTCGTTATGATGAATGTGTTAACATGATAGCTTTTATGTCTTTCCTGGTTACTTATAGTCTCTATTAACTAATGGCTAATAAAATAAGTTAGCTCTAAATTACTGGAACATTAAATGTCAGAGATAAAAGTTTTCCAAATTAACACAACTTCAGAAAGGTATGGTGTTCTGTGGTTTTTAAAATTCCTTTCTATTTAGAATAGATAAGCATGATTTTCTTTTGTGAAAATAATTAAGATGAAAAACCTCACATGAAGATATTTCCTTTTCAGAATATAATCATTGACAATCAAGCTCCAAACTTAAAGTCTAAAACTTATTGTTCCTAAGAATTCCTGTTGGGGAAATTAAAAATCATTCTCCAACAAAAATTGTACTTCAATGAAAATTTCCAATTTTCTCTTTTAGGACATTTTAATTTTCTTGAAAAGAAAACTAGCCAGTGTTCATTGCATTATGTAGCTTTTCATGACACTTTACACTAACAAAAAGAGCAGTCTCTTACATCCATAAGAGCAGCATTGATGTAGTTACTACTCTCCCCATCAATTGTAATTAAAAAAGGCAGACATCTGTCAGGTGGCAGCATGTCCATGAAACGATTCTTGTCATGGTTCCTTGGCAGGCATGCTATACTGCAGTCTTCAGCTTGTAGTCGAGGGGTGACTGAATTCAAAGTCTAAAAAGAAAAGGGAACCCAGGTTAAAAAACAGTGATCCATTTGATAGCACAACACAGACTCATTAAGTATTTAGGAGGCCAAGTAAAAGTGAAGAATTTGTACAAAGCAATGGCATTTGCCACTATAATAGGCTGATAGACTTTGTAAAGCTAATGAAGATGAGAAGCGACCAAAACAAACAAACAAACCAACAAAAACAACCAAAAAAAATCTCACTGTTCAATGCATGGCTTCTTCAAAGGAGAAGGGAAGCTAAACAACACAGCTATCTGCAAAATGCATAGTCTAACCAAAGATAATGTAATCAGAGTGTCTCATGATAATAACCCATCATCAAAGGTGGAAACTATAATTTATAATAATATTTTGGCATACTATATTTAAAGATATGCTGTGGCATGCTTGAAAGAGCACTGAGTAAAGAATCAAAGTATTAAGTTTATAGAGGTACTTCTGATTTCATAGTCACACACTTTCACAGATGTTTTAAGGACAGTATAAACATTTAGGGATTTTTAGAAACAATGTTTAGCACAAACTTCAGCTATTATTATTAATGTGCCTGATCTCATATTTTGAGCAACACAGGAAGCCAAAATCCACTAGAACTGCATAAAAAAAAGGTTGTAAATATACATAAATCACCACTAAATTTGAATTTTATGACATATTTTCCCCATACTCTTCCCTGAGTCCAAACTCATTTGCTCTTTATGATACAGCAGATATGAACTCATTAATACAAAAGTGACTCCATAATAAGTATAATAAGAGACAGGTATTATATTATTCTTAAAATTGGGTCAAAGGTTATAAATTTGACTTAAAAGACCTTCCTTATTAGAGTTAATAATGCCCAGAACAAATTGAAATAAGTTGGTCATAAAAGAAGCCCTAGAAATAGTAAATACCTGAAATTCATCTTTGAGATGAGAAGAGTTAGTCTGGGAGTCTATTCTGATCATATCAAAATATGCGGCTTTAAATTCACAGACAGGTATGGCAGTTTCTCCACATAAGCAGGCTTCTAAAATGGCATCATGAATAAAAATGTACTGTTCCTATCAAAAGAAAGTAAAAGAAAATCTTCATACTATGTTAATAAAACTTATTTGTCATCAAAGGTAGAGAATATAGAGAATTTTCTCTATATGGAGATATTAATAAAAATACCAATATTTCCTATGTGAGTTAATGAACTAACATTGATTCTTTGTGAAAAGCGTTGACTCCTTTGTTTTGAAAAACATTTGCAAGAGCTTAAAAGAAAAACCCCACTAGAGGTAAATCAACAAATCGACATACCTCTGTCTGGACCATATTGATACGACGAGATCTTAAGGCTTTGACACAGTTGTAGATGTCAACAACACCCTCTCTTTCAGCCATGTCCAGCATGATATCAATCACAATGTAACAGCCAGTTCGTCCAGCACCAGCACTGAAAAAAATTAAACAAATCTAAAGAATTGCAGGAAGCTTGTCTACGCAACCTTAAATAAAGATCCTTTTGACTTTCAGAGAGGCGGAATTAAATTAATTTAACAAAGCACAAAACCACATATTTTGTGCATATTGTACAAACGCTTTTATTAACGTACAAATAACTTCATGTAGAGTATCTCTTTTGGTATAAACCGAAGATTGGAATAGGAGTTCCAAATTAGAGGACATACCTTTCTAAATCAAATTGTGTTTTGAAAATAATGTATGCATATCATTTAAGTTCCATAGCTCTTTTATATAGTCTTCAGTTTATGTAAATCAAATACACGTAATTTCCAGCTGATAGAATTGATCAAGGGGTGGATTCATGCTTTAAAATTTAACACCAACTTAAAGCCTTTTATACACATGTTGGTGAGGGTCCTCAGGCAAAATGCAAGACTGCCGGCTCTTTTAGACAGACTTTATAAATACCAAGGCAAAATAATGTTAATTTCAAAATCTTTAAATGGGAAATCTGTGGAGCCACAATGCAGGAGGAAATGCTAATGGTGAGGGTGGGGAAGAAAATGATTGGTTATCAATGGGGAGGAGACCAATAGTAGAAAGAATATTTTTGAATGGTGATCTGAGGGAAAAATGAAAATGAATTGTCAAGTACAGAATATAATTCTTAACAGATCACTAAGATAGTCACTGACTTATGGTATTTAATTCAGAATTTGAATCATAATGTACTGTTGATATTTTACCCCCTGGGAGTGCTTCTCCAATTTTATATATAGAAGTTAATGGAACAAACAAGATATAGTTGGGAATTTGGGAGGGAAATTCCCTTTGTAGTTAGCCGCTTCTTTTCCATAAATTCAGAGATACCTAAGTCTAAGTAGAAAATGACATTTCTGTTTCAAGAGAGTACTCAAGAATCTTGGAGCACTTGTGAAGCAAGTAATTCAAAGGAAAGTAAACATCTATGATAAGTCAAGACACCCCTGAATCGAAAACCTATTTATCTCTTTTTAAAATGCATAGAGAGATTATTAACAATATTTCTTTGTTGTCTAGATTTGGTTATTTCTCTTGAACTCACTGTTCTTTTAAGAAATTTAAGTAAAAAGTACTGTAGCTATCTCTATTTCTTTTCCTTTTCTTTTTCTTTATGTTTTTGTCTACCATCTCTCGAATCACTGTTCCCAGGGTTTGAGACAGGAAAGTAATTGAAGAGTAGATCAGATTTCTTGAGGAGGACTGAACTGAAGATTTTTTTTCAGGGTACACAGTATCTGATCCTTATAGGATGACTTACTTTGTGGGTTTTTTCCTCTCCTTTTATATATGGTCATTTAAATTCTGAATAGGTTGGATTTTCAGAAAGAGAAAAAAAGTACAAGCTATTATGTAGCTTGGAGGAGACAGTATTTGAGAATCTTGTGCAGCATTTAGGAAAAAAGCTTTTCAGATTTAGTATATATTTTTCTATCCACATCTCAAAATGAGACCACGTAATTTGCTTTTAGTGTCTCAGAATGCTTATTTTAAGAAGAGTTTCTAATCAGAAGAAAGTCTGGATATAATATTCTAGTTTTCCTGGCATATGTTTGCTGGATCTCACTGATGTAGTTTTCAAGGTCTTCTGATGGATGTCTTTAAAAAAATTCTTAAATAGCTGTTTTATAGCACAAATTCTTACAATATAGGACATTTAGTAACTCTGTATGTCTCACATTTAATTTTAAAAGCTGGGATTCCATTGGGAATTTACTAGATTGGCAAGAAATCTCTATTTCAACCTACCATTCCATACAATATGGGATTTGCAAAAGCAATAAAAATACACCCTCCATCCCCGAAAACCAAAAACACGGGTGTTGCCACTAAAAAACAGTTTCTACATTCACAGTTGTGTACATCACTACGCACATTAGTACGAATGTATTTATTTCTTGTTTATTTTATATTATTATGACTTTTATTTTATTGCTGTTTTACCTTATTTAATACATATGAGCTGGAATTCTGTAAGCATGTATTAGTTTTTATACTTAAATGCCTTACTTGATACTTTAAAAAAGTTAACTGTACAGAGTCAGCACCATTTGGACCATCACTCACCTGCAATGGACAACGATGGGGCCAGCACTGGGAGGGTTGGAGAACTTGACTCGCCGGATAAAGGAAAGAAGCCCTGTAGCATGGTAGGGCACTCCATGGTCAGGCCAGCCGGTGAAATGGAACTGCTTAACTTCACGGATCTCATTGTATCCCCTCTGTGCAAACATGTGAAGGAGTATTTTCAAATGCTCCAAAATATAGTCATTAAGCACAGTCATAGTTACTAGACCTGATGGACAATAAAAAACTAAAAATAAAAAATTTACCAAGATCATGCTTTTTCTGAAAAAGGATGCTGGCCTGACATGGCTTAGGATCTTACCTTTATTGTCAGACAACTGCCAAAGAAAGAAAATTAGAAGGGTTGCTTTATAAAGTTTTATAAGTCTAAGTAAATTTTATTTACTCTGACAGTTTGTTCCTTACTGGGAATGACAACACATTAAATTATTAGGGGAAAAAGAAGAAATGAGAAAGCTAAAATGCTGCCCTATTGACCCAATGCACTGAGTTCTCAAGTGGTGTATAAAAGCAACTTTCTAGCTTCTCACCTCACAAAGAGATTTTAATGCCTTGTTTATCCATGTTGAAAATGGTTTTGAAGCATAGCATGTAGAGATTTTCCAGGACAGTGCTACTCTAGATCGGTTTATAAAAATATACAAACAGCTAAACTGTTTTTTGGGTAGACTATTTTTCTTAACTCAAGTAATTCGGCACACAGAGAACTATTTATAGTAAGAAAAGTAGAAAATGAAAGAAGCGAAACATCCATTATTGTGCTCTCTTCAATTGGTTAATTTAAGAGAAACCTTTAAATGGACATCTCAAATCTTTTTTCTCTTTTTTGGTAAAGAAGCCTGTAGATTGCTTGGAGAGCACAGATGAAGTGCTGCAGAATTTATTTTTCAGGATCCACATTTGTAGCAAAAAACGAAAACAAAAACGAAAACAAAAGCAAAACAACAACCCTCCCACCCCAAAAAACCCTATTATAATCTATGTAATATCAACTTTACTGTGAGCAATCTCAGTTGTTCACTCAGAATAGGTAGAAAACTGCATGAAATAAAGGAAATACATTAAAAAGTTTATTTTTAGATTCTATCCTATATAGAACAATATCACCAAAGCCTTGGAAGCCAGTCATCATGTCTTATTATTCTTTATAATTCTAGTTTCTAGTATAAGACCCTATAGAAAGCAGGGCTCAACAAATAATTATAATAGTGCCAATGACAAACACCATTGTGGAATCATGCAAATAATAAAATCACGTGTGTTACTACCTTTGAAGTTAGCTCTTGTGAGAAAGGCCATCAATTGTTCTAAGACCTGATTTTAGACAATCAATTTATCTTTTCTGTATTAATACTTTTACTGGAGTTGCTAAAGAGCCTTCTCTTTTAAGTAAATTTTAATACCTGGCAGCACATGTTCCATTATCACTCTTTTTATTTAAATCTTCCTGAGTCATTTTCAAATATATAGCTTTTAAAAATTGCTCTTTTCCTGTTCTAAACAACAACAAAAAAATTAAAAATAAAAACCCAATGATGTTCCAATTAGTATTGCATTAAATACATAATGTAGTATTAAAAACAAGTTTTCCCATTCTGGGCATGTCATACATATGTCTCTATTTAGTCACATTTCATTTTATGTGTTTCAACACACTTTGTATTCACCTAGGACTTGTATCTTTCTTGTTAAATATATTCTTAGATACTTTAGAATTTTTTATTATTGTGAAATATATTTTTAATGTCTACCCTCTGTTTATTGCTAACATAAAAGCTAGGATTTATCTTGAATTAATCACTTCAATATGTGGCTATTAGTTCCATTTACAATATAATATCTCTAGTTTTCTTGGCATAAAATTATTTCACTTTAAAATAATTTTGTATTTTCCAACAGTTACGCAGTTTATTCCTTTTGTTATTTTATTTTATTTGACGGAGCTTCCTAAAATGTTAAATACTAGTGAGAATAATTATTCATATCACATGCCCGATTATAACAGCAACGTCTTTAGTTTTTCACTCCTCAACATGTTGCGCTGCTAGTTATTGTTGAATCACCTTTATCATGTTTAGAGAGTCTCCTTATTTTCCCAATATAATTAGAGTATTATTTATTATACATGTTTTTGAATAAAATTAAGTGCACTATAGCACCTATTAATAAAACTACATGGTTTTGCTCTTTTAACACACTGACATAATGAAATATCCTACCACAGTTATAATATCTTTGCCTTCTTAGAAAACAATCATGATGGATCATGTGATTTTTCCTTTATTCACTTCTGAATTTGAATTTTCAATATTTTATTTTGAAGGTTTTTCGAAGTGTTCTTAAATGTAATTCGTTTGCAATGTGTAAGCACAGACACTTGGAGGAGGGAGAGATAGAGGAAGATTAGACAGAGATCGAGATCAAAAAAGAGACAGAGAAGAACTTTAATCTAGTTCTGTCATCATAGTTATGCTAGCTTTTAAAAATGTATTTAATGGTTTTAATGGTTTTCTAAGGTTTTCTATGGCCTAGTTTAACATAGGATTAGCAATTCTTTAAAAGTTAATGAACCTTAACTATAAAACCATACTGTGATTTTTATGGTAAATTTTAACAATCGTTCTATTTTTTTCTATCATCTGTTCAGGTTTCTAACTTCTTGGTTCAAATTGTTATTATTTGCTAGAATATCAGTGTATAGAGACTAAAATTTATGTTTCTGAGTTTATACATAATATTTTTTTATAACTTTCTTAATAGCAAGTATAACTGACGTTATACCCCTTTTGTATTTTCTAATGTTGCATATTTTGCTTTGATTGTTCCTCATTCAGAATTGACAGCAGTTTATTTTACTGATCTTTTCAAGGAACTTGCTTTATGATTTAATTTATTCTTTTTTTGTTTATGTTTGTTTTATATTTAATTTTTCCTTTGTTTATTGTCTTTTTTGTTTTCTAGTTTAATGATTTCCCACATGATCTAGACTACTTTTCAAAATAGAAATCATTTACAGTATGTATTTTTCTTAGAGAACAACTTGTGAGAAATTTTGATATAAAATTATTGATTGTCAGGATTGGGCCTGGTTAGTACTTGGATGGGAGCTCACTTAGGAAGACCAGGTGCTGTAAGCATTTAAAAAAAATTGACTGTTAGAGTATAATTTTAGAGGTACTTGTTCATTCAAGGATTATTCAGAAGAGGCTTTGGTGATTTCTAAGAGTCTAATTTGTGAGGTCAAGGGTCAGTGGTTTGTTATTCTCTGTTGGATTTTGGAAGCATCTATACTTTTTGTTATTATTCAGGTTTCTTTTATAACTAAGTTCATGACTGATTTTTATAAAAGCTTCATGAACTTACAAGAAGAATGCATATTTTATAATCTCTCCATAATAATGAAATCTAGTTATTCATTATATCAAGCTTGATGTTTCTTTTTTTTGATATCTCATATATCTCTGCTTATTTTATTCTACTTGACTTTTATCTAAGAAACTTCCTTACCTGTTTTAGAGTTGTGATAATCATAATCATGTTGTTCTGTATAATGCTACTTTCCATTTAATATTTCTGCTAATTATATTTAATGTTGGCAAAATAATTACATCATTTGTAAAGAATGATATTTCCAGATCATAGATGTATATATCTTCCTATTGCTGGACATTTATGGTCATCTATAATTTCCTAAGACTATAAATGAAGTTCTTATATTTTAAATATACGTCTTAGGATAGATTCATGGAAGGTAAGATTCTTGGTCAAAGGACATCAATATTTTAAAGCTCTGTAGATATTCAAAGGTATATAAGCAACAATGGTATCTGCAGTAATGAATTTCATTGCTTCCATATCCTACACTTGAGGATCCTTACACTTTCTACTCTGCTTCAGTCTTTCTGATTCTGTTAAAAATAAAAGTCAGGTCACATTACTTACTCCTAGGCTCATAAGCCTTCAATGGCTACCTTACTTTTAAATTAAAATCATCTAATGGCTTGCAAGGCCTCACTTATCTGGCTCTGTGATTTCTCTAATTTCATTTCATCTTTCTTTCTCAACTCTGAACACCCCAGACTCTTGGCTCTTTCTCACTATGGCAGGAATACTCATGCCTCAGGGTCTCTGAAATGACTCTTCCCTTCATCAGAAATACTGTTCCCTGAGATATAACTCATCTCTGAGATATAGTAACATCACTCACTCCCTCATTTCCTTAAGGCTTTTATTTGTATGTTACTTTCTCAATGAGTCCTTTCCTTATCATCCTTTTAAAATTGTAAACTATTTCTTCTACTTTAGCAATATTCCCAACTTCCATTCCCAACATTATTTTTCCCCATAGTAATTTTCATAATATATGATGTATTTATTTATTAATTTTTAATTCCTGTCTCCCCTTAGCAGACTTAGCTCTCCCCTTAGCTCCACAAGAATAGAGATTTAACATGTCTCAAAGTTCAGAAACATTCTTGCCACATGGTATGCTCTCAAATAAATATTTGTGGAATAAACGAATGGATGAATGGATTTGTGGCATCATAGAAACAAACCTTGACAGAGATTTTAAGAGAAAAAAGTTTGAGTGCATATATTTTTTAATAGAACTCTAGGGTACTTACCCTTTCCAGTGTGAATGTCCTAACCACATATTCAGCAAGTGGTTCCATTTCTACACAAGTTACTTTAAAGTCACCATAAACTTCAGTATCATCGGGCCAATACTTGTAGCACTTAACCTAAATGACAAAAGAATTCATAGGCAAACCTGAATACATAACACACATGAACCAAGATGATTTAATTCCAGTGATAACTCTTCGTTACAGTTTAAATACAGTTTAAAAATCTACAAATGAGACAAGAATCTGTTACACGATAAATAGAAAGACTTTGTGTGATCTCATAAAAATATGCAAGCTTGATAATGCAATTAGATTCTAGTATATAATCAAAGCTTATTTAATTACTAAATGAAAAATCAATTTCTCAGCCATCAAATGTTCACTCAGGGGAGCACTCATGGTATGCTATGCCTATCATTTTTGTCTAACAATTAAATGATATTCTATTTTAAGTTTATGTTTTGCTATACTCATGTTTTATGATCAAAACAAAACCAAAAACAGATCATATTTTTTTCTCTTACCCGGCCAACCTCAACTAAATTTGTAACCATCACAATGCAGGCAGACTGCTCTTGCCAGATCATTCTCCAGAAATCATATACGGTTTCATGAACTGGGCCTATGAAAATATTAATGTGAATATTATATTATCATGGAAATTTTGTAGTTAGTAAGAAGTTTAGATAAGATAAAAAGCAATGTAAAGTAAATAAACCAAAAATAAATAAATAAAGTTCTAACACAAAATGTTAGTACTAAAAGTATTAAATTCAGTTCTTATCTAAATTAACACTATAGACAAAAACATAAACACATACAAGTTTGTTTCCCAAATTGCTGTCTATATTTCCCAATTCAGAAGAAAATATTACTAGTTTCTAGGGTATTTATATCTGTCACTAAGTTACTTTAATGCACTTTCAAATATATGTGAAAATGAGGAGTCTTCTGCTACCAGTAACCAAACAGTACATATTACCAATGAAATATATGCACATCATTTTTAAATACTGCATGTTTAGGGGTTAAAGAAGAACCATCACTCGTGTAAGGGCACATCTTAACCTTATCCTATAGCATCTCCAAATTGCAAAAGTGTCTACTGGGCTGTACTCTAAAATTACCATAAAACTAGAATATTGGTTACCATGGATGATGTTTTTAATTTTAAAGTTTATAATTACACTTAATCACTCCAAAAATATGTGAAACTACTTAAAAATGACCTCTGTCAAAGAGTAAAATTGCTTTTCCTTTAATTTCCTCTTTTATAAAATAGATTTGCAGGTTTCTCTTCTGATGGCAAGTGGTCAATTTGGAGAAGTAACTAAAGGTGTTTTTGTTATTAATGTCAGAATAATTTTATTCCTCAATGTGCCACTATAACAAGATTTCCCTACTTTCTTCTTATTTTCTATGAAGAAGAATAAACTTGACTTTAGCCCTTTGTTTTGTCTCTATCTTGACTTTTAAAAAAATTGCTGGAAGACTGTCTAACATCTCATTATAACAATATTGGTCTTAGATGCTATCACATTCCAGGCTGACAGACTGCTGCTAGAAACAGGCACCTTAAACGAAATAAGATCTCCCTTGCTTTCATCAAAAATCAGTAATTCCTCTGCCCAGCACTACTGACTAGTGCTCTGGACATCAGGATACCAGGAACCAAATCACAAAAACTACCAGCAACTTCTCTTTTACTTGTAATTAAAAAATAAATCAAGCATTCAAATATAAACACATTTTACACAGATAAAATAATTTGTCTTGTATCAATGAAGCAAGAGTAGTATTACTCAGAAGAGCAGACTTTTTTTTAAAGTTTATTCAGATAAAATTGCAAAAAATACCATATGGATGAATGAGCGAGTTTGGTTGATCCGTAAGACTTAAAAGGCAAAGTTTTACCTTGTGTTGCAATGTAGTGGCTTGGTCTCTGGTAGCCCTAAAATAGGAGAACAAATTGGTCATAAATTTACATCACTATCAGAAATAAACGAATGAAGGCATAAAAAGATGAAGACAACCACCTGTTAATATTAAGTTACAGTAAAAACTCCAGAAATGAGTAGTGAACTCATAGTTCACTTCTCAAACCTAGGTTATCTGAAAGGTAAAATAAAACAAAAATTAAATATTTTAAGGGCTCTGATTAGAATACATATTGCATAATTGAGATTTGTTTGCTAGGGAAGAACCTCATAGATTTTGTTTGGTTTCACTAAAATGTTTATGCCTTCATGTTAATCTTTAGTCATTCATTCTTGGCAAAATCGTGTTCAAAAATACTAATTCTCATTTACCATCCAAAAGTACAACACACTGCATTACAAATGGACAACGACATATTAGAACCATAAAAAAATAACAGAACATTCCAATGTTAGAGCTGGACAATGCATGTGTGCATCAAATCAAAGTCCTGCTGAGATTTTATGAAGAATATTTTTGTTCTATAATATGTTCAGGAATCTGCCAAAACTATTTTGTATGTGCTAATAATATTAATTTACACATACATAATTATAGGTACACACATATATCGGGAAAGAAGAGTTTTAAAATGTACATCTTATCCTGAACAAAAAGTTTAGTATTTTTTCTTCTTTATTTAATGTGCCAAGAGCTCTATGTAGTTAAACATTTAAGTTGTTTCAATAAAGAAATTATTCCTGTTAAGAAATAAGTTGTTAGTTGATCTCAATTGGTTTGAATTCCAATAGGTCATGGTAGCAAAAATGTTGATGGTATGAGAGGGTTAAGCTTTGAATTTGTTGTGATTTACCAAAGTTCTTTAGTAGAAGCCTGTGGTACAATTTATCCACCTTTTGGTGTGGACAGCTCAGTACAATATAAATTCATTTCAACTTAAATCTCCAGTCTAAAACTTAATAGGTTGAGCATTACACTGTTCAAAACCTTGAAGTTTTTGATTTCTTAATATACCATCATAGCACTGTGTTTTATGGAAACTTTTTCCCTAAACTTTATAAACATTTCATCTCCTGTTTTTCATGAAAAATTTACCAATTGCAGGAGATACTTAAAAGTAAGTTTAACAAATTAATGGGAGAGGAAAAATGATAAAATTGTGTCTAATCGGCCAAAATACACTGAGGTCTTAACAGAAATATTGAATAAAAACAGTCTCACTTAGAACACACCTTTAATGTAAGAACAATAAAGTAGTGTTATTCCAAGGCTCCAGTGTATGTCTTGGCAGAAAACCAAGGTTAAACTAAACAGGTAAGAACAAGTACAAATTTGTCAGAACTGTTGATTTTTTTTTTTTTTTTATTCTAAGGAGTAGAGCAATAGCTTAGTTTTCCATGTTAAGATGTCTGATAAATTTTAAATATTGAATGACAGCAAAATGAGGATCAGAAATTTAACCAACATTCTTAGAGTCTACACTTCAAATTTATTCATTCAAAAATATAATGGCAATTCACAAAACAACTTTAAAACATGAACTTGATAAATAAATGTGATAAAAATTAATTCTTATTTAGGGAAATTTAAAACAGTTGGGCCCTAAGTTTCATCTTTTATAGATGTAAATGTATACATATATGCTGTAATACTTGATATTTCTACCTTTTGCCTTCCAATTAATGCATATTTTGAACTGATTGATTTAAGCACACTTGAATTTAAATTATTTTTTAAAAATGGCTGAAGTTTAATGAGTGCTTGATAAGTGCTAAGCACTGGTGCTAAATGATCAATATATATTATTTCATTTAATTCTCACAACAAAGTGATAAAGTTAGAACTATCAACATCCCCTGTACTGTAAAAATGAGGAAATTGAGGCCCAGAGAGATGAAATAACATTCCCATGATTGCCAGTGAGATTTTAAACCAGGAAATATAAACAAAAAGCCCGTTCTCCTTATATGTAATGTAATACTATCTCCTTAACAATATTTTATCTTCCATTTTAAAATTACTTTCCATTAAATAAAGAATTTACATGTAGATATTTTTTAAACTAAAATTTAACAATGAAATGTATCGTCAATACATTTTTGATTTATATAATTCAATATATATGTGTGATATGTATATTTTACAAATGCAATTTAGTAATAATTTTGCCTAAGTAATTTTAATACTTGACAAACCAATACCACACATCACAAAGGTCTCCCTACCCATTATGCACATCAGAAGTCATATGTATAAAGTAAAATTTCAGAAGCACTAATACACATCATACTATCCAGCTTCTCACATATGTTTGGGGAAGGGTAAGAATAAAAGCCAGAAACGGAAATCATCAACAAATAAAAGTCAAGTACATAATAAACTGTCAAAAGTTAAAAATGGTCTTGTTTTTCTAAACATAGAAAAGGGAAGGAGATAAAATAGGTCTTTACACATGTAAAGGAGTTACAAAGAAATGAACATAGATATACTATATGAAGCTAATTAGGTGAAGCATGCAGATATAACTAGTCGTAAGCATTAGTAATAACCGTAATTAAGAGTAGTTACATTAAAGTTATAATAGGGTACTGTTATTTACATATAGTGGTACTTACATCCCTGTACAGCCAAATCTACAGCCCAAACCAAAGTCAGGTGTGAAAGAAAGCACAACAACGTCAGTAAGTACTAGGACGTAGAACAAGGAAAAGTGTACAGTTTGTTCTTTATTTTAAAAAGCTAGCAATCACTTTATAGGTAATAACAAGCAAAAAAATTCACATACATAAACCAACAAATTGGGCATACTGAACTATAAAAATACTTACATCTATATAGTTGGCATTAATGTAATCTGAAGAAGGATCATCCTCCACAGGTTGCAGAATTACTCTGGAGTGATCATCTAAAATTTTTAAATAATAAAATAAAAGCTATTAAATATCCCTCCTGTTCTGAGATAATGACACTGGTAGAGACTTAAAATAATTCAATGGTTGTTAAGAGCTTACCCATAATACATTCTCTAAACTTCCTTAAACACTAGTCATTTGAAGAAATACAAGAACTTTAATAAGCTTATTACTTATTATAATTATCTTTTGTTAGTAAAGCTTCTTTGACTAACTTCATAGTTAGGAAGTTTTTAGGGGACATGATAATGTCTGATGAATAATCATTTGAGTCATAGACTTGTCTAAGAAACTAAACTTGCCTTAACTCCTCATTTTGCTCCTGGAGGCATGATTTTAAATGGGAGGAATCCTCTCCCCTGCACTTTACAGCAAATGAGCTCCAGAATTAGGAAGAGAATTTTGAATCCTTGCTCTTAACTCATTTCTTGACAGTCAAGGTTAATTTTGATGTATTCATAAGATACTTTAATATAAATTAAATTGAGAATAGAGTGGTCAAAGTAAATAAGTAGCTAGTTAAAAGCTAAATTATGTTACTTTCCTTACTGCTTCTGTGGTTTCATAGGACAATTAATTTACTTATCCACATATACATCTTGAAGACTGAAGGAGGAGGAAGTCTCTAACAATAAATAACATGGAACTACTGGAGTCAGACACTGGCTCCAAGGAAGGAATAAAGGTATGTGGAAAGAAGAACACCTTGAATATGTTTGGTAAACATATTGTCACAGCAATTTATCATTGAAAAGATCTTTTTTATTCACTGTCCTGATTTTCTCAACTGTTTAATAACATCCCATGCATTTGTGTGCAAACATAAAATCAAACAGAACTATCTCCACATGGTGAAGAGTGTGAGTCAATTTAATTAATTAGGATGACAATTTCAGAGTCACTGCCAGTAGCCATGATATTTTAATATTAAATAGATTACTTTTAAAACAGATGTGTCACCTTCCTGGATTTCTTAAAATTTAAGACCAAAGAAGAATTGTAACTTACTATTTATCTTCTACACACAATATTTACAGTCACCAAGAATTGTATGAGAACTTACATGCTATAATGTTTCCATATCGGTTTTTTGCTCTATTTTGATCTTTTTTAGCTACATCCCAAGATGCTGACTGTCCTTCAAAGAAGCTCTGGGGGTGAAAAAAAAAAAAAAGCATACTGAATTTAATTCCTTTTCATGAATCAGGTTTATCTGTTCTGAAGACTGAAATAGTAGAAACCACTTTCTCAGGGAGGGAGGCCTATAGTAGTAAACAAGTTTCATTTTCACACCTCAAAATTGTTTGCTGGACTGCTATTTATTCATCTTGGATTGAACTGAGTTCAAATTAAATACAAAAAACAACTTCAGAAAAAAAGAACTTTAAAAGTATTTCACATTTAAGATCACTACAACTTTGTGAGATGGAAGTAGAGAAAGCATCAAAAACTTCTAAAATACTTTAATGAATTATCTTTCAAATGTGCTTCCTTTAGCTTTTACAACAGGAACAGAAAAAAAAAATAACGCTTGTTTCCTCCCATAACTATTCATTAAATCATGTGCAATACATCAGATTTCGGTTTCTTTGAAGATCATGAAAAGGAGCGAGTCTCTACAAAAAGGGACCGCATGAAAATTAAAAGGAGTCACCATCTCCAAGAATCTTGGAACAGATGAATTTATTGATTGGTTTAATTACCATATGTAGCAATTTAAAATATGGGTATAGATTTCTTTTTGCAGAAAAAACTTTAACTTTGCTCAACACAGGAAATGGGGTCTTCAAAGAGCCAATGGTCTTTGAAGTGGGGTACATAAAAATATACATGAAATGAACAACAACAAAAAAAACCCAACTCAGGCAGAATATTGTAATTCCTTGCACTATTTTGTTACTATAGCATAACGATTCCAGCATACATCTAAAATCAGTGTTCAAAATTCAAAGAGAACTGTATTCACCCCCAAACTAAGGTGTACAAGTAATCTGTAAATAAAATGTAGAGTTTGGAGGAGTCTTCATGAAATTGAATGTATTTTGAATGGTCTTTCAAAGTAAATTATTGCTTGGATTCTTTCGCTTTAAATGTGTGTGTATGGTGGTATGTGTATGATGGTGCAGGAGCTTTCTCCTATCACCCAGAAAAGACTTTTCTTTTCTTTATCCTGACATTCTCAGCTGTGACTATCAGGATGATGAAAAGACTAGTATTTCTCAGTAAGTGAAGGTGGCTATATTATGTTTATTGGGATGTTTAAATCATTTCCCTTGTAGCTTATATCTTAGTATTTTGATTTGAGTAGGAAGGGGAAATAAGATTGGAAGAAGAATTTTCCACATCCTTCTTTTGGTTTCTTAATGTCTGGATTTACAGTGCTCTATTTTTTCTCCCCAGCCACTCTGAACTAATAATGCACAAAACAAAATTAAGAATGACAAGGAGTACATTTACAACACAAGGTTGATCCCGTTTCTCAACAGAAGGTCAACAAGCAAAGGGGCGGAAAAGTACCTACTGTTTAAGTCATTCAAATGATGGAGACTGTAATGCTAAAGGAAGGAAAGTTTTTAAATTACATGAATGTCATGGTTAGAAATAAAATTTAACATAGTATTGAAATTGAAATTTTCACCTCATATTCCTCTTTGAACCCATAGCTGTCTGAGGTCTTCATGAGATTAATGTGCTGCAGTAAGTCGGCCACCCTGATGGCTGGGTGCAGCTGTCCGGTCTGGTAAGGGGATTCTGTCCCCTCACAGAGGTAGCGAGGTACATCAAGAAGACGACTGGACTCTGCTGTAGCACTGTGGTTTTCATCTGGCATTTTTCAAATTCAAGATTAAAAAAAAGACAAAGTTATCTTGTTTAATATATATCTATGCAAAGAAGGTTTTAAGACCTCAAGATCTTACTGGTAATTGGAGAAAGGGAAAGAAATAAAGTATAGGCCTAGGGCAGCATCCCCATAAAGACAAAGATATGAGGTCAGAGTATATCATGTTTATATCCACAAGAAAACAGATTCTATGAGACGTAGAGAGACATCTGATCCATTTGAAAAAGTATAGTGGGAGATTTTGCTGGGTTCTTACTTTTTTCTTGTATCTGTAGTCATAGCAGTATAGAGTGAGACTAGAAGATCGAGTTGTCAATTGGAGAGGTGTTTTCATTTTTGATTAAATTGAACAAACTCCTTCGCACCCATATCCCAACCTCCCTCTAGGTAACCCATTCTCGCAGGGTTGCTCTTCTTGCCCATGTGGCCCTATTATGCTCTACCATCTGAGTCTTCTTACCATGATACATTCCAGGCTGGGAAACGTGGACATTCTACAGAATCGTCTCCTGGACCCGCTGTGTCTGCTAGCCAGGTCACGTGCATTTTTATCCAATCTCTAGCCCTTTGGTTTATTACTATTATTGTTGTTGTTGTTTTTTTTATTGCTAGTATATATTTTGACTCTTCTGGTTACTGTGTCAAAGAAACCAGTGTATGTCTCTGGGGCATAATACGTAGGTACTTCCTCTGGAATTCTTCCCCGGCCCATCCAGACTGAGCTACACAGCTCCTGCTTTAGGGCCACTTGGGGCTGCTTTATGTTCTTATGGCCTTTTGGTCTACATTCGTTTCATTTGTTCTATATTTTAATCATATCTTTACTGGTCTATTTTCCTCACTAAATTCTGAATGCTTGCAGTGTAGAGACAGAGTCATATTTTTCTTTTTATTTTTAGTGGCTGGTGCAAAGCAGTCAATAAATATTTCCATCAATGAATTAGTTAAAATCAGTTGAATCCCTTACCACCCACATTTAAGTGTAGGCCGCATGCCAACTGTGTCATGAGCTTCAAATGAAAAGAAACTTTTAAGCACCTTTCCATCATAAAAAGGAAGAAAAGAGCAAGAACATTTTACCTATGAAGAATAAATATTATTTTAATGACCATAGTACTAATCATTACAATGAGAAGAAGCATGCTCATATTTATCACATTTAAACTTACCACTTAAAACAAACAAAAATAAATAAACAAAACCAAATGTTTGACGGAGTGTTACTTTGAAAAGCATTATACTGCCATTCTCATTAACAGAAGAAAAAGTACACTCTTAGGGGAACTTTTTTTTAAATGATAATGCATACTGTAGAGAATGATATTTAATTAACAGTTAAACGTATTTCAAATGCTGGTACATTTGCCTGTTCTATTACCAACTCTACAAATAGGATATGGCAAAAAATGAATTGTTGTCCCCATGATAAACATTTTTTCTTCCTGGAGAAGGAAAAAAAAAAAAAGAACCCCACAATCAGATTTGTTTGCTTCTATAATTTAGCTTGATTGCATTTACTTCACTTTCTCTTATTAGGCTGAATGGGTTTTTTTTTTTGCATTTACTTCTAAAAATACCACATTGATTCAAAAACATCCTTGGTAGATTTGGTTGTGACCTAACCACACAACCGAATAAATGCCCTTTTATTCAGGTTTTGTCCACCTCTCTACACACAAACATTTGCTAGCAAACATAATTCATGAGATATTTTTTCTTCTTCCTATGAGACTATAATCAAATGATCTCCCTTTGCTAAAATACTGCAACTGATAGAATGACATAAAGAATATATACATCTTCCCCGTAAAATTAAATTTGGAAGCTACTGATTTGGGCATTATCACAGAATATATGGCTTAGGATAAGTAAAGAAAACAGATAGTGTCAGAGAGGCAAAATGCAATCACCCAAGCTAGAATAAGCTGCTTTATGGAGCAGCCCCAGAGCTCACATTGTATCTGCAGGAGCAGCAGAATATTTACATTTGTAAAACACTCAGTGAGAAACACAGAATTCACCCATATTTCAAATCTTACATAATTATGTCCCCCCGAAAATAGCACCCCTTTTTTGCATTAATCTTTAATACAGTATTACAATGAGCAGTATTCTTCAAAATAATCACACATGAATTATTAATCTCAATATATTTCCATCTCATTAAACCACCTAATAATGTGACTAGCAGTGAGAGTACATGTACTAGTCATTATCTTTATTACACATTTAAGAATAATAACTTCAAGTATTTCCTTGATGGAAAGGTTTTCTAGAGTTCTTTGCAATACACTTACCAGTAATAGGGACTTTAACCCAATGAAGCAGTAAAACACAAAAAACAAATATATCAATTAATATGAAAAGTTTCTAAGCTCTTCTTAAATTAGTAAGTAGATATTAATATCAAGCAATATTTGAAGTGATTTCAAAAATTGCTTTATAAACACAAAATCAATTGGATGTAAAACAACTATAAACATCATGATTCCAAGAATGATGAAAAAATGCAACAAATCATTTCTACATATGATATGATTAATGAGAGATTTAGCTTTCAAAGAAGAAATATTTTTTAAAAAATCAACCAGCTTGACTTTCAAAATGAAATTAAATGCATAATGACTGTTTATATGAATAGATTTGATGACTCTATTGTGCTAACTTTAGTCTCCTTTAAACATAAATATCCTATTTCCACGGGGAAATTTATTACAGTAACCTTTTGAACTTTATAATTTGTAAAAATTCATGTACATCATTTCACTTTCTCTTGGCAAAACTCTGAAAAAGATATGGTAGGAAATACAGTTTTACATATTGGAGAAGCAAAGATGTAAGGTATTTTCCTGAGTTTATATTGTGAGTCCAAGGAAGGACTAAGACTTGAACCCAATTCTACATGTTCTTAAAACAATGCTGTAATAAAATTTTAACATTTAGGCAAATACTCTCTTTTCCAGTAAGTTTTTAAAACTTTAATTGAATTTTACTTATTAATTTGACACTGACAGCACTCTACAGTGCTCAACAGAAGCTGACATTTTCAGAGGCATTTGATGCCTCCTCAATGATCATGACTCCCGACTCCTTCCCTACATGATCAGGCAACCCCTTGAGACAAATTCCTCAGTTCACTTCTCTGTCATTATTGATATGGACATTAAAGGGAGAGTGTAACCAGAAAAAGAGAATATTGACTTTCAGATTCTTTTAGAATATATATTCTTTATATTATAAAGTTATAAATTTAAATAATTATTTTAGTGAAAAAGAGGTGTATTTTATATAACTGAATTAGTAGTAGTTTCAAAATATGTTGACTGAATTTTGAATATGTGGATAATAAAATCATGCATAAAATGTAAGCTAAATTTTCATATTCATAAGAAATTTAAATATAAAACATAAAAACTGGCGATTTTAATATACATTTATCTGTCAATTTCTACATATCTTTGGTTAAATTTTAAATATTAGAAACACTGGGGTAAAACACTGCTGTAGAACATGTGAACATACCAGTAACCTGATCAACAGTGTAAAATCAGTTAAGAAATAGCATACAAATCGAAATGAAACTCATTCCATTTATAAATATATAATTAGATTAAAAATTAATGTAGCTTTGCATCTGAAGAGGACTTATGTGTGAGATACTGGTTGACTTAGATGTTATATAGAGGTACACCTTGGCTTATTCTAAATTTCTTGAAAGATAACACTTATGTAAGGGCATATAGAATGCAAAACTCCACATCAATATTGTAGCAAATTTATCTGAATTTACAAATTCTTAATAAAGACAAAACTAAAGCCAATTCACGGATTCCTAATGTTCATTTGGAAATGTCTTCTTTAGTTACTATAAAATTAGGATGATTTAAAAAATCTCTTTCCATCAGGTAGATTTTTATATATAAACTAATTATTCAGGTAGCACTGGGCCTGATATGTGTGTGATTCAGTTCATTCTAAGAACTTAAATACATAAACATAAGCCATATATTAAGGGCTATTGTACTTTTGCTGCAAATCTAAAAGAACCAAGAATTAATTAATACATTGCTTTAAAAAAGCATACCTTACTAATTTGAAATCCGGTAGATATGATTAGATTGACTGGGTTCTCTGATAGGACCATGACTATGTATATTTTTAAAATCAAGCTACTTTCTGCACTGCAAATAATTACTCTGCTGACAAAGTTATAACCCATGCAAGGAGGTGTGATCCATGCAAAAAAAAAAGATAATAAAAAATTAGGGCCTCACCTAACACAGCAGTTGGCACAAGTGGATCATTGGGCACTGTATGTAGGAAAACAAAGCACATGAAGGAATGTCTTGCCTTCAAGTATTTTACACTCTTTTTTTCCCCCTTTCAAACAGATTTATATTTTCTCATGAAATATAATTATTAAACTTTTTAATTACTATAACTTGCAAACCTAAAATTGTCTTTCAGATTGGATTATTGCAAAACACCAGGAAAGGTGCATCTAGAATTATATACTTCAATACTCTGTTCAATTAAAAAAGCAAGAAAGATTCAACTTGACATTATAAATATTATAAAATTGGGGAAACCCATGCATTTTAGATCTATCAAGTGCAATGTATACTTAGAGAAATAATTATCTCATATTCATTCCAAATAATTTTTCAGTTAACTGAGTGAAATAGATTTAATCCTTTCTCCAAGTTCATATGTGGATATTTATAGTTACACTGCTAAAGTCAAGCTTCCTAGTAAGGTACAAACATAGGCAATAGATAAAGAAGTTTGGGGAACAAAAATACTTCCAAATCTTTAATTGATTAACTATTAAAACAAGTTGTTAGAAAGATGGCACATCTATATTTTTAACAAAACTTACTTTCAACAATAATATGTAATGTTCTTCTTTATCACTTATAGCGAAACAAAAATTAAATAGATCAGAAAGCCCCAATCATGATTAAAATAACATTCCACAATGACTCATACATCATTTCTAACTACTTTGGTGAGATGTAGAAAAATGATGGGCAGCATTTAGGACCAATAATTTCTGAAAATTTTCACCAAACTGAGTATTTCAGAAGAAAGAAAAATCCCTTTCTGAAAAGACATAACTGTATACAACCTACAAATGCTTCATTTTCTCAAACTTACTACTACATATGCTGATAATCTGTACAAGAAATAATATTCTATCATTTACTTCTTCTCTTATATACATGTTTTCCAAAATGGGGCAAGCAAAACTCTGGGATCTGTGACAGAATGCCCCTGTGTACACAAGGCCAAAGATAAACATGATTTGCCTTCCTCAAACATCTTTTCTACTTAAGAATTTGAAAAAACAGAGTCATGTAATTTTACTTAAATTTAGGTAACACAGTGCTGTAGAAAAGAATATAAAATTCATAGGACTGCCATTAAACAATACTTAAGTGGAAACATTTTAAAAGTCCTGCCTTTATAGATCAGCATTAGGCATTCTTAATATAGATAGAAGGATACATGAGGTGATAGTTGGATGGATGGATGAATAGTTGGGTAGATGGATGAATAGATTTTATCATTCCCTGCCAATCCCCCAATTCAGTTAAACTTTTGGACTTCACAACAGAAAAAGATTCCTCTTTCCCATAGTTAAATTTTTTTTGTGACTGAAATTCTCCAGAATATTTTAATGGAATAATTTTACCCATGCCAAAAATTCCCAGAAAAAATTATGATGTTTCTTACCTCAAAAAGAACTTTATCTTGCATACAGGAAGACTCAAATGGCAAAATAATTATAAATGAATTCTGACATAAACTAATTTTACATAGGCAATCAAGTATTTTAACTTAAAGCAATGACATATGATTTGGTCTAAGTGGTATATGAATCTCTTATGATATAGTAATAAAATTTATGCAGCTTAAAAGTAAATCTAGTATCAAGACAAAATAAGTTCTTATAAATTCCATAATATTCTCTATCATTTTTCTCTTCCTAGCTATTTCTTCCATTACTCTTTTTTACTTTTTCTCACTATTTAAAAAGTAAAGAGAGTGCTGAATTCAGAGAGAACTTAAGGAGCTTCGAAAGTCATTTATGAAAAATTTTAATGAAGAACTTACATCTTGGACTAAAATTATGTTGGTCCATGAAGGTGATGGAAAGAGGATCCTCTGCATGCAGAGTGCTCTGATCAGCATAACTTCGATCCATAGCATTCACCATGTGAGTCATTTCTTGTCGGGTGTTCCCCATAGCATCTTTGCGTTTTTTAGCAAGCTTGCTGCCAAGGCGAATACGAAAGGAAAATCTTAGTGTGAGGTTTGAAGGAGAGTTGACACCGGCAATAAGTAGTCAGGAAAACCCAAGGATAAAGATATAGATGTAGTTTAGAAACTCTAAGAACTGGCCATAATTTTAGGAATTAAATTTGATATTCAAACAATATTTATTGATTGATATAAAACTATTTTATTTTCATATGGGTATTTCAATATTCAAGCTCTCAACCCGAACTTCATCATTTCTTGTATTTGATCATTAAAATAAATGATTATATAAAATATAACTATATTTCATTAAAACTATAAGTAAGTATTTCCCTATTAGAGCTGTTTAAGCTAAAGCTGTTTTGATTTTCTTCTTGGGTGATTAATTTTTTTATCAACTTTTAGAAGTTCTTCTGGGGAATAACATTAATACTTTTCCAGTTGATTTTACTATAGTGATCCAATTAAAATATACAAAGCAATTCCATTCTTCATTATCTGTATTATTATTCAGTAAAAATGCAACATGTGTGTCATTAACGTATTTACCAATATACATTTATTACATTAATCCAAACCTAATCTGAGACTTGTAGAATCGATCACAGCTAGATATAATGCAAATACACAAAAATATATGGGAAAAAAATATCTACTGTATAAGAAAGGTACTTTGAGAAAAGCTTGAAAAATAGTATAAAGATGTATTACACAAATGATCATAATCTTGAATTACAGATATGGTCAAATCCTAAAAGTTTGTTTCAGAATCACGTGGTTCTATAGAGTATCTACTATATAAATGCCTTATAAATGCAAATAACTTAGGGGACTTGGAAAATAGAAGTTAGACTTTTGAGCTACTCAACTACAAATATATTTATCTTACATATGATAGATATAAAATACATTCTGGTTCTTTGTGGCTGTTACACATGAAACATGCAATAAAAAAACTAATAAAGGTACATAAAACATTTACATCACATTAACAAGGGAATTTATATATGATATAAATAAAGGTACTCTAAAAGCTTGTAGCAGCCAAATTATGTTTCTAAGTTTGTGTCATAATGGAAATATTCTTTAGTTGTTTTAAGAATACCATTTCTCAGCCGGATTAGGATAAATTATTCTGATTCTCACTAGTATCTGTACTACAGTAAACATGCTACAAATACTTTTTTAAAGTCCCATTTAATAGTCGTGCTTATGTCCAAAGGCTTTTCCTATAAAAATTAATCTAGCAATTCAAGAGCTACTCCTGTATAGGATATTTTCCTCTAAGAATTATAATACTTGACCTCAGGGGGCATATACCAAATATACCCAACATACTGACACAGCAGATCTGATGCCTAAATAAGACAGTCATAAACAAAGCTTTAGTGATCAAAGAGGCATTTGAAAAATAATGATAATGACAGTACCAGTCATAAGAAAACAATGACAAAAGAATAATAAAAACTACCTTCACCACCACCATTACTATCACTACCACTACACCACCACAACCACTGTCACCACCAGCATCATTTATTAGAAATATTTGTTCTACCCATTTAAAGAGTTATTATTTCTTTTTTCTAGGCTAAGAGATAAAATGACCATAAAAACCTCACAGATTTCAGACAGGTAATATAAATGAGTGCTGCTGCCAGTGGTAAGACACTATACAGAAGGGTGGGGACTATGGAGAACTGGAGAGCAGTTTAGGGGGCAACTTGCCAAAGTGCCTATTTTAAAAGACAAGCGATGAATCTGAATATTTGTTAAATTTCTTGATTTTTTCAAGTGGTTTTATTTTTTGAAATGGTGTGTGGGGCAAATTAATCATCTGCAAGGTCATATTTTAGTCTATAGACTTCACTTTCCAAACTTACCTCTACGCTGTGATACAGGATCTTTGCTCTTCAACCTAAAATGTTCTTTTACCTAGTATCTGGTTAACTTCCATACTGTCTCATCACACTGTCTCACTTCAGCAGGGAACCTTCTCCGACTAATCTCAATACAATCTGTCTCAGGTTAGATTTCTCTGCTAGATGTTTTTATAGCATCATGCTTTCTGCATGTAATAACATTCATCACATATCATAGCAATGCCCTTTTAATTGTTTCCCACTGTGTGTTCTATGAAGGGAAGAACCATTTGTATATTCCTAGCACTAAAGCGTTGTCTGGCACATAGCAGACACTCAAATAAATACTTGTTGAATGAATGAATTAGGCTTGTTATATGCTTGGCACTTTTCATTTAATTCAATTAATTCTCAGATCAACCTACTGAAAAAGGCATGAAAATTCTAATTGTATAGATGAGTTTATTGAGACTCAGACAAGTTAAATAACCTGTTCAAGTTTATTTACCCAATAAGATCTGGTTCCAAAGCCTAAGCTCTTATATCCAGTTGCCGACATTTTTTTTAATGCCACATTACAAAGTGTACTATAATATGAAGTACCTACTTACTCTAGAAGTTAAAACATTAGTTGTTATATATTTGAAAAGAATGTGAACGTGGCACAAATGTTTTGCCATTTTAAAATATTGAAACAGCAAAAGAGATAGTTGAAGAAATAATTTCTAATCTTTGTTTCATTGGCAAGAAAGAATGGATTCATTTCTCAAAAAACTTAAGACATTAAATTGAATAACAATAACACAACTCGAAATTTTGGTTAAAAATAATGTTCAAATTTTGAAGACAGGCAGTTCATAGTAAATGGAAAAGGCATGTTTAAACTTTGAGGCTTTATTTAAAAAAAAATATATGTATAATTTATACATGTTTTATGATTAAGGAAAAATATGAAGTAAAGAATTTGTCATACGTGTAACAGGTAAAACTTTTCATGGCAATGAAGGATTTTTACTTTTCAGATTTACAAACCTTTGCTAGTTGTCAAATTACAGCAGAATGTAAACTTTGTTAATATCTGCCAGACATGCATTACCAGTTTGGTTCTAATACCTTAATTTTCACAAAAACCCTGTGAGGTAGGCTTTCATTGAGGTTATTAGAAAACAAATAAAAATTAACTGTTTTGATCAAGACCTGATAGTTACTATGATGATATCAATGAATGCTAGCTAAAAAATCACATCTGGCTTACTCATAAATTCTACTCTAATTGATTTCTACATTTATTTGAAAATTATTTCAGATTAGCTTCACTAGATATGTTTATGCAGCTTTTAAAAGCATATCTTCATGACTTTCTTTCTAATTATGATTAATAATGCCAGTAGCCCTAAGTATTACAATAACAGTATCATAACCTAATACTTAGTCTAGAATACAGATATGTTATCCAGTCACTAAAAGGCAATCCAATTCTAACATTTTCAATACATATATGGTTAATGGGAAGCTTACTGATATAATTAAATACTTATTGATTTCTGTATGTTTGAAGCTTTGTCTCCCTCTGAGCAACAAGCATATATAATATGTACTTCAGGACAGTTAAGCAATTTATTTTGTAACTACTTGAGTTTGACAGATCTGAAAATGACTTTCATTATCAAAGCAGCCAACAGCATAAGCTTCTGCAGGTGGATATATATGGGTGGGCTACAAAGAGGAAAAGTGCTCCATCATTGTATGAAATGGTACAGTTAATTACATTTGGCTTCAACCAACATGAATTTACAAGAATATTATGATTCATCACAATAAGCTAGGAGCATTGTTAGTTTATGTGTGCTTGTTTAACAGATTTTAAGAAGTCATATGTTTATAATATTTAAAATGCTGGCAGAATTCTGTTATAGTCATTGAGAGTCTAACCAAATTTTGTTGTAAAGCTGGATTAAATTTACCTCGTGATGTAAATTTGTGGGATATATGCCCCAAAATATATGTAATCACAATCCTTAAGCAATGTCTACTAATACTTGGTTGTATCATTCCTTTGGATAGGATGAATACTCTGGCACCTAAGGTAATATACTAAATATAACTAGGGAAATAGAGTGGACAATACTCTCCATCCTTATCTAAACTAGCATTTCATACCTAATTATAGGAAGAGCCAAGACTTTGGAAGAGAAAAGGAAATATGTGATACCTATGTATGTTTTGTGTAGGTTGAAGGGGCTTTTATTTTTCTCTTTTTGACTATTTTTTTTAAATAGTCCCATTTAAGTTAAACATTTTTTCTTCTCTAAAGCTAATTTTTATTTGTCTCTGCAATTTATGATTTTATCCATTTGTTTTCACAAAAGCATACTAACTGCCTAGATGGCCCGACCAAAGGTGTTCATTTTGAAGTTATAACATCCTGAAATCCTGGAAATATGGAGAGAGATGTTATCACAATCAGTCCTTATGTGATTTGCATCCCATGAAGGCACTTCTGAATGGTTCTTCTATGAATACATCACTTGGGTCATTTTGTAAAATATAACAGTGTTACATAAAGACAGGGATTAATGAGTAGTCACTAATTAGAGAGATCGTCACTATCTCTACCAGATGAGTGAGGTATCATATTGATAAGGTACAGATTTGGCTTAAGTAAATAAATGATGTCTTGGGCTATAGTCTAAAGCTACTTATGGAAAACTGAAAATAAAAATTAAAAGTAGCTGAATATATAGAAATACAATATCCCTTTTTAAAAAGATTAACAAAATAAGTTCATAGGTAAACTTTATAGTTTTAGAGTCAAGAAAAAACATTTTTTTGAAATGTTACCAAAAATTGCAAACATTCTGCTTTTTGTTTTCTTTTCTTTTGTTTTGTTTTTGTTTTTTTTTTTGAAAAGGGATACTGCATCTTTAACACACGTAAAGTCGTATATCACCCATTTTCTACTTACAGGTAGTAGGAGTAAGAATAGTAGCTCCTCCTGGCAAGCAAATCACAGACAGTGGAAAAAGAGAAGCAATGGTGAATGAAAAGCGTGACTCTGTCACATTCAATAAAGCAGAAAAATGTGTGTTAAAAATAAAATGAAATCAAATAAAATCCATGTTTTTTTTGTTTGCATTTCAATTTGCTCATGCATTGGTTAGATATATTTGCCATGCAATTAGACAGATATGCGATAAAAAATAAAATTTAAAATACATAATTTGGGAAAAAATACCATGCTGACATTTCTTTTATAGCCAAAAAAATAGAAAAATTAAATGGATTGTGTATTTTCAACATGCAATTAAGCATAATATCATCCATCACCATCAAAATGTCATGACAGATGGAACAGCTGTGTATAGAACCTGTACACTAAATTGACTATTTTTCTTTAGATACAAAACATAAAGATCTATTAGGTTAATATAGAATATATGCAGAATGATATCTAAATTTTTATAAACAAGTCATTATATCTTAATGGTACAGAGGTACATACATATATTATGTGAATATACATATGTAACATACGCCATATATACATAAAGATATTTCTACAGTAGATGTATGTGACCATATCATACACAAACATTTACTGTATTGAAATGTAATTTCAAATTTATGTTTGGAATTATTAAAGTATTCATGCTGTGCATTTAAAATATAATACATAACCAATGAAAAAATGGCATACATTTGGAAATAATTCAACAGCGATTAAACTAAAAAATGACATTGCGTTTTGAAAGATGCAATATCCCTTTTCTTAGCCTAAAAAAACTTACTTTATACCCTCAGCTGTAGAATTTTACTAAATTGAATTTCAAACCATTTCTTTACACAAAAATAAAAAATACATAGAACTTTTTTGAACATGAGAAATATACTTATATATATTATTCCCAGTGAGGGATAAAGTCTTGAGAAACTTAAAAATTTCCCATAAAAGTAAAGATCATAAAAGGCTAACATAATTTGCCTATCCATTATTTTTATCATAAATTTTTGTATTAAAAGGGAAACTATATTATATACTAAATTGTTTATCTAAATTTGATACTATCCAATACTGTTATATCTATGCTTTTGTGTATGTATAATAAACATAGTTGTGATTAAATCATACAGGATATGTGTGTGACATACGACATATAACTAAAAGTCACTATGAAGTTGCTTGGATAAGTAAAGGATTCAAGTAATTTAGTTATAATATTATATAGGAAGGTAATAAATCTAAATATGTAACTTTATTTATCTATAAAATTGCAACATTTCCTAGTCATAGAGGTAGTGAGGAAGAGAAACAAAAGCCCCAGCATACTTTATACCAAAAGGTAATCAATTAAACCATAATTATGAAAAACTCAAACATCGAACATTTTAATAGGAGGCTCATTTATTCAACCAGAATAATATATTAAAATATAAACCAGAAAATAATTTGTTACGTTATACAATTTTAGAGAGTGTCAGAGCATTTTCCCACCAAAAAAAAAAAAAAAAAATCATGCTTAGAGATTATTTTAGTGTACTTTAGGAAATTATATTTTAAGGGTTTTTTTTGGTTATTTCTAAAACAGAAGGCTATGGATGAGAAAGACTCTAATAACAAACAACTATTTTCAAATAAATAACAAATAAAACCGATTAGTTTAACCCAATTTTAACTGAGTGAAGACATAATAATCAGAAGCCATTTTCTTACTCTCATATCAGATCTGAAGGGACTGGAAAATTTTAATTGTGAAGCAAAGTTAAATTAACTCTCTAAAGTGTTTAGTTAACTCTCCAAATATAAATTTACTCTAAATAGAGACATAAAATCTGGAAGTTACATTCAATAGTTCTGTTGATCTTGACTGGCAAAATTTATTACTAAAATGCTTAAATCTTCCTGTCTCAAATATGATATATTTTCCAACCACAGAGGTAGACAACAGCAAAAAGAGAAAGCACTATTAGGGAAAGCACGTATGTAGCTAATTTAACACAAAACACTATAATGCATACCTAATGTTTCTAATGCAGATGTGTCTTCTCCAACATATATATCTCCAGGGAATAATTGTAAAGAGGCAATACATTAAAATAAACTCTGATGGAATCATTAAACATGTAGTATGAATGAGTCTTATCTATATTGTTAATGATTCATTTTGAGTAAAATAATAGTATATTATTTAATGTAATGTAATCATTATCATTTATTATATTATTCAATATAATTCATAAATTACAAACATTTCTATACACAAAACTATTTTAAGGCTGTATTCTGCATGTAAATATTTTTTTAAAGAAGTCTTTCCCAATTGTCGTATTATCTCAAACATATGACTGGATTTTGGAGAGTTGGATTTATTTCTTGGACAATGCCTTATAGATAATTATTTTATAGAATGAAAAAAACTCAGATCATAAAAACTGTATACTTTGAAATGTTTTGCAGCAGGAGTATATTTTAATCTCCAGAACAGAATTCAGTCTAAATTCTAGTGGGTCTTAATATCTTCATACAATCCCAGAAGATGGTGATATTAGTTGCTATAGTATAAAAGACTAATGCTCAGTTTCTTAAAAGTATACTCATCATATTAAAGTATCAAAATAGTCAGCAAATATTTCATATACCATTTCACAAAATAATGTTCATGTTATCTTATTTATAACTTATAACTAATATTTAGAAAAATAGAATGCATACAAAACAATTTCATAGACTATAACCCAGTATCATGAATGATAAATACTTATTTTATCATTTTAATAAGTAACATTTCAAGTATAAGATAAATTAATGTACCAAGTATCTTTGCATCTGAGAAATTTAAATTCATACATTAATTTCAAAAGGTAGATATTTATACCTGAAATTAAACTGCAAATAACCAAAAGAATTTATTTTAAAAACACGAAAAATTGTGTTAGATGGTGGCAACGTGGCTAAATTTCAATTGTTCTCCTTGCTTGTTCTAACTTCAAAGTTCTCAAGGAAACAAAAAGTGTTTGGAAACTAGTGACATAAATGATAAGTGAGTAGGACAGAATAAAATCAGGCCTTACCTCTTTTTAACAATTAAAACGACAACTAGGAGGAGGAGGATGAACACCAAAATTCCAGCACTAATTCCTGCTATTTTCACCACTCTGTCTGTCTGCTTGGCTGGGTCTGGAATCACTTCTGGTTCTTCTGTTGCTGCTGCTAAATGAATCAAAAAAATAAGTTACTGAAAACAGCTAATTATTGCAGGAAAAAAAAAAAAAAACCTA